GCTCCTTCTTACGCTCCAGCTCCGGCTGCACCTGCTATGTCTTATGCACCAGCTCCAGCTGCAACACAAACGTATACAGTTGAAATACAACATGTAGCTGCAGCACCTGCGGCACCACCTCCACCACCTCCACCTCCACCCGCAGCTGTGGAACCAGCTCAAGTTATTGCTCCAGCTGTTGCAGCTGCAGCAGCTTCAGATGAATGTGGCGGAACAACAGGAAGGACGCGTATTGTCTGCCAAATAATCCAGTCTCGAAAAGCAAGAGCTAAAGCAAAAGCAAAAGCTAAACTGTAGTGAATATTAATTTTATATTGCAAAGTTCTCTTTTTCACTTGTAATACAACTTTTTTTTTTTTGTAAACAATTGGGTCTCAATGTACGAATAATATTGTTACAAACGAATAAAAAATTTTATACATATAAATAAATATATGTATATATATAGCCACCTTCTCTTTCAATTTTTACATAACAGCAGTAAAGTTTACCTAATTTAATATTAGTCTGCATTCAGTTTAAGGGTTACATCACAATAAGCAATTAATTGTATACAGACAGTTGTTAAGATTGAAGCAGTATCAGTTTCCTGGTGTAAATTCGGAAATATTCAAAAAAATTGCTTATTGCAGTGTGCAGCATTGCAATTAAAAAACAGATAGGTAAATTATATAATTTCATTCATCATCATCTTCTTCTTCTTTTTGCTCTCTTTCGTCCTTTCATCTTTTTTTTTTTTCGAAATAAATGAGGTTGTTGCAGCAACATTTTTTGACTAAAAATCTTTGCAGGCGATTTATGGAAAGTTCAACAACTGCTATATCGAACTATATATTTTATTACACTGCAGTAATCTAAAAAGCTGTTTTGTTAACGTTTAATTGTTGTTTTTACAAAGTGAGAGAACGAGGTTTTCAAGGAATTTTACTACATTATAGGTTTTGTACACTCTGTGTAAAAACAATCAAAATCATTTTTTTTTTTTTCACTTGTTTATGCTCGTTTGATAATCGCTTATATCTTCAGTGAAGCAAATAAGTGAAATAAACAGAATATTGTTTCTTCAATGGTTGCGCAAAGAAAACAAAGGAAAAATGTTGGAATTTTGTATCATGATATGAAAGTTTTGGACTGCAACAAGGTCATTCAGAAAAGAATACTTTCTACTTTTTTTCCTCTTTTTTTTTCTGTCGTCATTTTTATTTTTCCAGAAATGATCATTTTCATTTTTATTAACGCTTTTTTTGATTGATTAGTTTTGGACAGAAAAAGTTGTTTTGATGCTTCACTACTTCTTTAAAGTAATGTTGCACATTGAAATAATTCAGTCGTTTTTCCCTTTCCTCCTACTCTTCCGTCACACTTTCTCATTCCACCATTACTGGTTTCCGGATTTGTGACGTCAACCGATACTGTAAATCAACAGTTTTATCGTTAAGGTTGCTCAAGCTTAGACACTTATCCATAGTGTAAAATTGTCAAAAAAAGCGTTTTGTCATCTCTTTCCACTAATGAACAGCTGCACAAGAAGAAAGCATGGGATGTCTCAGCATTATTATAGTTTTTGATGACTTGTTTTGAGACACCCAGTTTTTGATCCGTGATTTTGATAAAGTTGCTGTCTGCGCGTGTTTGGTGTGGGGAAGCGGTAGCATTGATTTTGATCTGACTAGACAAGTGTTAAGTTGAAATTTTTTTAGAAAGGTTTTTATTGTATTAAGCAATTCTGCTTGCACTAAAAAAACCTGTACTTGCAATTCTTCAAGGCTAAAGAGGCTTTGTTCATTACAGCATTTCCTCTTCGCCGTCGCTGTTAACGGAAGAATTTTAACAAACCATCAAGTATGGTATTGGTATACAATAAAAATTAATTTTTCTTTTTTTTTTTTTGGAAGTTACCTAAAAATAAATTGCTATTTATGTGCATATTATTGCATTAAAAGTTGTTGAGAAAAAAGCAGCATTTAAATTTTTTTTTCATTTTTTATTTAATTTATAAAACTAAACGAAAAATTTTTCTTGGTAAAATTATTATTTGCAAAAAAGCTTCTTGAAAATAGTCTATTTTAAAACTGTTTCACAGCTGAACGTATAATAAATAGAAAGAAAAACATCAATTTTTTTCACTACTTGAAAGCAACTAATCGTTAAGTGTTTTCAGTAATATTTCTTTTAAATTATTTACACTATTTTTTCTCAGATACTAAATAGATTTGAAAAAACTGACTGCATACAGCATAAAGTTGTCATTTTCTGTGCTACACATTGGTAAACTTTTATGAGATGACGGCAAATAGCGAAAAGTAGAAGCAAGAACTGTCAAAGAAATGAATCAGTAATCAGTGTAGCATGAAAAAAGCACATTTTAAGCTTAGATTACTGTGTAAAGAGTAAAGGAAAAAAAGGGGAAAAGCTAATGGGTAATTGAACATAAAACTTTGTCATTTATTAGCAAATTTTTGTTTCCTGTAGTTTATCAATCGACAATTTGATATGGTTCAATAAAAGATTAATAAATTTTTTTTTTTCTTTAGAACATCAAGAATGATTATTGGTATTTTAAACTGAATCATTTGCTGCCATTTGAAAATTCAGCTTCTTTGTTTTTTCCTTTTATTTTTATTATTTTACCAAAAGCTTGTTTCAGCAGTAAACTGGATTGTCATTAAAACATAGCATTAACAGAACAAAGCTTATTACTACCAATAACAGTTGCTACTTTTACCAGTGGTAGTCTAAACTGTAAACAAGTGCTACCTTTTTGT